GTTTCAGTAACTCAATAATGTCATGTTCCTATTTGTCAATGAGCGTACAACGAATCCATCCAATGCAATGTATTCCTTATGAAGATCGTAACATTGGCTTAATGATTGACATGTTCAGCATGATTGGAATACAATATTGCTCAACAAGTACCATCAATATCCAATCGGTCTGCGGGAGTTGAGGAACAGGAAAAACCACAGTGTGTTCCTATTGCTCAAGATCTTCAACCTAAAGATTGTCCTATAGAGGTTAAAATCTAGTGAGAATCCTAAGACAGCAAATGAGCCTACTGAAATGAACAAAAAACAAAAACGTGTCAATCTGTTAACTTCTTTATAGTCAGTGTTTCACACCCACAAACAATTTGTTCCCATCATTTTTGCTTCTGAAAAGTATGACCAAGTGCAAAGGTGCTTAATTTTACTAGAAAGCTCCAAATTTGAGGTTTGCATCATTTATCACTTCAAAACTCGTAGACACCAAACTTGTAACAAGTTTTCTCCAACCAAGGAGAATGATACATAATACATTTATCCTACATTTCCTAAATAGAATAGAAATTATATTTTTTAAAACCTAGAATTATTATGTACTTAGGATTTTTTCCACCTTTGGTGCTTATAGCAATACAACTATACTACTTTTCATTTCAAAAAAAAATTATGTTACTTATGAGTATTATTATTTTAGTGGTATTAGTACTACCATCTATACTTAAGGAAATTCTTAGTCTAATCCTGTTTAGGCAAGTTTACCTAGGAAGCACAATAAATACATTTATAGTTCTTTAATATTTTCTCAATCTTTCTAGTTGTGAAAACCATCAAGTATGATATTTGAGAAATCACATATGCAATACCTAGTTTTTTTGCCATTCTTAAGTGGGTGAACTACTTCCTAATTTGTCCTACGTCAAATGTTGCCCTCTTTCTCAGATAGCCAGGGGCGTCTTATAAGAAATGATACTTACAGTATGAAATGGCACATTGTCTTTTCCCATAAACTGAAACAGCTCCACATTCTCAGGGTTCTTCCACCACTTCTCCCAATCAGACGTGTAGCACAATGTTATAGAGACATATCCAATAGGTGCATCAAACCATACATAGAAAACCTATCAACAAGAATTTGGACGTTGTCATCAGCAAATA